TAGCCTGAGGCGCTAGACCTTCTGACCTATGCCTTACTATGTCATACGCTTGGTGGAAGGACACTGGTCGATGTGAAACGGTACTCTTATGAATGCGATGGTGATTTGCTGCAAGGTATCGTATTGGGATATAAAATTGTTCCTCACATTTCTTTCATTTGGAGAATTTTCGCCAACTTTTTCGCACTTCTAGACCACTGTGCAATGGGCGGAATCGGTCTCTTCTCTAGGTACTCTAGGTCTACTGTACATAGGCTTTACACAACTCCGCCCCCGAGTAGCACATATCTCCATGCAATGCCATGCTATCAACAAGCCATGAGTTATGCCATGACTTTATTTTGTGACATTCCACTGCGGCCAACCAGACAAGGGCAGTGCTGTATCATTGCATTATTTCGAAATTAGCAACCCGGATATGCCGGGCATTTAATATGGATGACGCACGTTCTATATGGAGGCGCATCAACGAACGGCATCCCATATGTAAGACGCCAGGCATATATTGATTTAGAACTCTCTTTTTAGTGTGCTACATGCTCTCAGTGCTTCATAACGTCCCCTCGTATTAAAGGGAGCTAGTTCAGTTCGGCCTCATCAAATACAAGCAAAATATAATCGCTAAGTCATGGCTGTGACTGACTCACCACTGTCAGAGTGAGTGCAATAGATGTGCTCATTCTCACCTCACCCTTTCTAGTTTCCGCATCTCTCCACAACGGCTTCCGATAGATCTGCCCCAGCTACCACATAACATCGATTCAACTTTGGCAAGGTGCGGATTGAATGTATCTCTGTTAACGGTTTATACCTCCATGTTATATCAACATTGATTCAATGCGGAGACGGTCACCGTTGTGTTATCATTGATTCAATGCTAAAACTTTTTACTTTTTTTCCCCTTTTTTTCTTTTAAAAGAAACTCAATTCTCGATTTACGGTGTCAATTAGGCCTATACGGATGAATCCGTGGTCTTCCAGACATGTCGTTGAGGATGTGTAACGTCAGGCCAATCGCAGGCTTATTCATACTTTCACAAACCAATTCAGAGAGAACGTGTAACATTAGACCGATTTGAGGCTTGTTCGCGTTTCATAATTCATTTCAACGCGGACATGGAACGTTAGGCCCATCTAGAGGTCCTCGAACCATCTCGAATAGATCTGGGGAGAGAATGCCTCCAGGAAGCATGATAACCAAGGTGCGCGTCCATCCGGTTAATTCAGGGATGTCCAGATGAAATATCTCAATATCCCACCCCAATCAGTGCTAACCACCGCTTCATTTTCAGTTCAATTCATGAACTCAGTACAAAAATGTCTCATACGGGGTGGTAAAAAAAAAAATTTACCTACGAAAAGTGCTTTTAAAACTTCAACTTTATTTTAAAAAATCTGATACTACAGAATTATATGAATCGATTTATCAACACTATGAGTGAAATTTCATAGATGTAACATAAAACATTACGCAGTTATGCATGATCCAAGATATGCTCTAAATGCTCGTCTTGGCGCTGGATGCATACTTGGATGCGTCTCACAAAGTTATTGATGACTCGCTCAAATTCGGTCACAGGGATTGATCTGATTTTGACTGTGATGGCTTCCTGCAGCTCAGGGATGGTGCTTGGCCTCCCCTGATAAATACTTCTTCGAGATATCCCCTAAGATAAAAATTCTGGGGGATTGGGATCAGGGGAGTCTGGGGACCATTCAACATCGAAACAGTGACTAATGACTTTCTAACCAAAGTGCTCTGTCAATCGCTCTCGACTCGCGTTAGCCGTGTGAGGAGTTGCTCTTGCTGGAACCACTGTCTTTTCTGGACTAGTCTTGGTCGGAAGAGAGTTGTTAGAAATGTAATGACTCTTAATGACTCTTCAGTTTATGGAATCAATGTTGATGACAACATCGATTCAACCTTGACTCGATGTTGAAAATAACCATAAGGCGTGGACATTGTCCGGTCAACGGTACATAAGAAAATTTCTTGTGAGACATGCGAATAAACAAGATTTCCTGACCGTGAAGTGCTATGGCGACGAATAAGCCGACCCAGCGAGTTACCTTGTATATATGTAACCGGCATGCGTCCCCAGGACATTTGGAACGATTATTGATATTTTCTTTACAGACGCCGCTGGAGAGGGTATTTGAATTCCTGGATACATTCGACAAAAGAGGCAACCCAACCCAACAAAAGCGAGGATAATTCTGAGCACGAGCATGGAGACAAGAAAGTTCAAGTGGTCATATGACTCCATGAGACCCCCTTGCCCTCACTTGTGAGGAAATTTTCAAGTCTTGTTCAGTTGGTCGCGCGGATACATGGAGTGAATATCAACATTTTTTTTCTTCATCACCATCAATCCACTGTCCTCTTCAAGGTCCTTACCGTCAATTTTCTATACTAGCGGTCGAGCCTTCCTGTGGTCGAGCCTTCGGCTCTCCATTACCTTGGATAGCGATTAATTCATTTATTCTTTGCGAAATGGCAAACACTTATTTAAAGTACGTCCCATTGGATTACGTGACATATGGGGACGAAAGACTTAATTTTTATCAAAATCATTACTTCTATGACTTCTAGAGCCTAACTTGGAATCTTTTCATGTGTCCCTTTTTGTAAGGGTGGAGAAAACATTATGAAATACTTCCCTCCTATTATCTACGCTCATGAGGCATATTTCAAAAGTTGGATTTTTCCCGTACTCAGCCATAAAACAGGTACGAAAGTCTTCATTTTCATCAAAATCATTACTTCTATGACTTCTAGAACCTAACTTGAAATCTTTTCATGTGTTCCTTTTTGTAAGGGTGGAGAATACATTATGCAATACTTCCCTCCTATAATCTACGCTCATGAGGCATATTTCAAAAGTAGGATTTTTCCCGTACTCAGCCATAAAACAGGCACTTTTGCGTGAATTTTAACTTTTCTGTTTCTGTATCGTTGGATCGAAAAATAATTCACGAAAATAGGACTTTAAAGAAAACTTTCCTGATTTTTTTTCTTCTGAAATGTATAATCAGGGAACTCCATGCCCCCAAGTTTCAGCCTCATACGTTTCCCCTTTTTGCTGGCGGTAAAAAATATATTTGGAAAAGCAACCTACCCAAAAGCTATGCCCGGAGATGCCCTATGGGAGCTGAATACCCCCACAGCTCAGTAATATCACGTCACTTATACTTGTGCCAAGTTTCACCTTTCCATTTNCCCTCGTATTAAAGGGAGCTAGATCAGTTCGGCCTCATCAAATACAAGCAAAATGTCATCGCGAAGTCATGGCTGTGACTGACTCACCACTGTCAGAGTGAGTGCAATAGATGTGCTCATTCTCACTTCACCCATTCTAATGTCCGCATCTCTCGACGACGGCTCCCGATCGATCTGCCCCAGCTACCACATAACATCGATTCAACTTTGGCAAGGTGCGGATTGAATGTATCTCTTTTAACGGTTTATACCTCCATGTTATATCAACATTGATTCAATGCGGAGACGGTCACCGTCTATTCACCCGCATTGTGTTATCATTGATTCAATGCTAAAACTTTTTACTTTTTTTCCTTTTTCTTTTAAAAGAAACTCAATTCTCGATTTACGGTGTCAATTAGGCCTATACGGATGAATCCGTGGTCTTCCAGACATGTCGTTGAGGACGTGTAACGTCAGGCCAATCGCAGGCTTATTCATACTTTCACAAACCAATTCAGAGAGAACGTGTAACATTAGACCGATTTGAGGCTTGTTCGCGTTTCATAATTCATTTCAACGCGGACATGGAACGTTAGGCCCATCTAGAGGTCCTCGAACCATCTCGAATAGATCTGGGGAGAGAATGCCTCCAGGAAGCATGATAACCAAGGTGCGCGTCCATTCGGTTTATTCAGGGATGTCCAGATAAAATATTTCAATATCCCACCCCAATCAGTGCTAACCACCGCTTCATTTTCAGTTCAACTCATGAACTCAGTACAAAAATGCCTCATACAGGGTGGTAAAAAAAAATTTACCCACGAAAAGTGCTGTTAAAACTTCAACTTTATTTTTTAAAATCAATGATACTACAGAATTACATGAATCAATTTGTCAACACTATGAGTAAAATTTCATAGATGTAACATAAAACATTACGCAGTTATGCATGATCCAAGATATGCTCTAAATGCTCGTCTTGGATGCATACTTGGATGCGTCTCACAAAGTTATTGATGACTCGCTCAAATTCCGTCACAGGGATTGATCTGATTTTGACTGTGATGGCTTCCTGCAGCTCAGGGATGGTGCTTGGCCTCCCCTGATAGATACTTCTTTGAGATATCCCCTAAGATAAAAATTCTGGGGGATTGAGATCAGGGGAGTGTGGGGACCATTCAACGTCGAAACAACGACTAATGATTTTCTAACCAAAGTGCTCTGTGAATCACTCTCGACTCGCGTTAGCCGTGTGAGGAGTTGCTCCGTCTTGCTGGAACCACTGTACCTTTCTGGACTTTTCTTGGTCGGAAGAGAGTTGTTAGAAATGTAATGACTCTTAATGACTCTTCAGTTTATGGAATCAATGTTGATGACAACATCGATTCAACCTTGACTCGATGTTGAAAATAACCATAAGGCGTGGACATTGTCCGGTCAACGGTACATAAGAAAATTTCTTGTGAGACATGCGAATAAACAAGATTTCCTGACCGTGAAGTGCTATGGCGACGAATAAGCCGACCCAGCGAATTACCTCGTATATATGTAACCGGCATGCGTCCCCAGGACATTTGGAACGATTATTGATATTTTCTTTACAGACGCCGCTGGAGAGGGTATTTGAATTCCTGGATACATTCGACAAAAGAGGCAACCCAACCCAACAAAAGCGAGGATAATTCTGAGCACGAGCATGGAGACAAGAAAGTTCAAGTGGTCATATGACTCCATGAGACCCCCTCGCCCTCACTTGTGAGGAAATTTTCAAGTCTTGTTCAGTTGGTCGCGCGGATACATGGAGTGAATATCAACTTTTTTTTTCTTCATCACCATCAATCCACTGTCCTCTTCAAGGTCCTTACCGTCAATTTTCTATACTAGCGGTCGAGCCTTCCTGTGGTCGAGCCTTCGGCTCTCCATTACCTTGGATAGCGATTAATTCATTTATTCTTTGCGAAATGGCAAACACTTATTTAAAGTACGTCCCATTGGAATACGCGACATATGGGGACGAAAGACTTCATTTTTATCAAAATCATTACTTCTATGACTTCTAGAGCCTAACTTGAAATCTTTTCATGTGTCCCTTTTTGTAAGGGTGGAGAATACATTATGCAATACTTCCCTCCTATATTCTACGCTCATGAGGCATATTTCAAAAGTAGGATTTTTCCCGTACTCAGCCATAAAACAGGCACTTCTGAGTGAATTTTAAATTTTGTTTCTGTTTCGTTGGATCGAAAAATAATTCACGAAAATAGGACTTAAAAAAAAGAGTTTCCTGATTTTTTAAAACGAATATTTATTTTTATTCTGAAATATAGACTCAGAGAACTCCATGCAACCCAGTTTCAGCCTTATACGTTTCCCCTTTTTGCTGGCGGTAAAAAATATATTTGGAAAAGCAACCCACCCAAAAGCTGTGCTCTGGGGAGACGCTCAGCAAAAGTTGAAATTTTCCTTAAATGAACATCACGTCCGTTATGCGTGCGCCAGCTGGTATTTTTCTACTTCTGCCTGATTCGCTAGCATATTAAAAAAATTCTTTAAAAACGTTACGTCCCCAAGAAATATGCCCCTTAAAAATATTTTTGACATTTGAAATTTGACATTTCAGCTGAGTGCTTCGCATGTCACGTTCTTGCCATGTTACAGCTTTCCATGGGTCTCCGTTTGATTGAAGCAAAAAGAAGTATTTGGAAATATGTTCCCCGAAAAGGTGTGCCCCTATGGCGTGTATCACCAAAGTGGAATTTTTCCTGAACTCAAGATGTGAATAGCTACTTATGTCAGTCAGTCAACTGCTCACGATCATCTATATATAATATGAAAGTAGAATTGTTTCTTTACTCAGCTATTGATCAGGTACTTCTTTGCCAGGTTTAAACTTTCTACCACCCTCCGTTTTGCTGAATCAGCAAATTTATGAAAATTTGGAAAATATCTGCCCTCGGGCGTTATAACAGTAAAGTATCATTTTTACCGAAATTAAACCTAAGTGAACTACATGCCCACAAAGTTTCAATATTATACGTTTGCCCTTTTCACTGGTGAAAAATCATGTTTGGAAAAGCCGACCCACCCAAAGGCTATGCTCGGAGGGGATGCACCATGAAAGCTGAATACTCCCTCAACTCAATAATATCACCTCACTTATACGTGTGCCAAGTTTCACCTTTCCATTTCTGTCCAATGCCCCATGACAATTTCTTTCTTTTGAAACATCGCCCCTCGAGAAATTTTCCCCTGGGGATGTATCAAGAGTTAACATTTTTCTTTAACTCCTTATCTTGGTAGTCACATTCATGCAAAGTTCCAGCTTTCCATGTCCATCGGTTTATCTAATGGAAAAAAATTATGTGAAAACATTCTTCCTTTGAAATTCATGCTCCAGGCCATTTCATTCCAAAATCTGAATTTTTCTGCACACAGCATCCCGGTAGGTAATTATGTACCAAGTTTCATCTTTCCACACTAGCTCTATGCACCAGGACAAAAAAAAATACTTGAAAACGTCGACCCCAAAAATATGCCCCCAGGGCATGGATCTAAAATTTTGCATTTCTCCTGAACTCATCGTGTCAGTAGGAACGTCCATGCCACGTTTCAGCTTTCCATGTCTCTCCGTTTTATTGAAGCAATGGGACATGAAGGCAAGAGAACTAAAAAAAAGGCATGAATTGAACCCTGGCCTCACGATTACCGGTCCGATGTGCTACCACTACACCACCGAAACGGTGACATACAGTAACTTCTTTCGATGACATCCTTATCCATCACGATATATATATTTTTTAAAACTTCTCCCCCCAAAATGTGTACCCCCAGGGCATGTACCTCCAAAGTCGGAGTTTTTCTGAACTCTGCACCCCAAAAGGTACATGTGTACCAAGTTTCAGATTTCTAACCTTTCTGGAACATGGTTAGAATTAGCGTCAGTCAGTCAGTCACGATCGTCTATATATATTAGATTTTGAATTCTGCATTCTTCTTTCTGAAGTTGATGCTTCGAGGTGAAGGAGGGCTCTCTAAACCTACGAACATGAAAACAAAAAAGAACCAGAGAAGGAAGCTGTCAGGAAAAAAGCTTAACCTTTATACGACTAGAATAGAGTGAAAAAATGACCCAAAAATAACATATGGCACTATTATTTCCCAATACTTCATAGTACGAAACTGTCAATTCAGGTTTTCCTCAATGACTATCTGCCACTTCTAGTGTCCTGTGTGCTCCACGTCACAAGAGCATATAAAGTTGAAGAAAATTGTTGAAACCAAGTTCTCATGTTCTGTTACTATTACAAGAATTGATTTGGCTTAATTTAGCCTTGGTCCTTCATAATACAAATATTATTTAAATCTTCCGAAGGTGATGATCTGCATTATCGAGTTAAAGAAGAACTTCTAATGACTTCGAAAGTCAATTCTCCTGTTCCGACACAGTTCAGAACTCCTGTTTCCTTGTTGTTATGTCTATTTACTTTTGTTTGTTTAGTTTTCCCTCCGATTTCAAATATTGATGAGGGCTTCTCATTTCTTTCTCTCCTCTTAAGAGATGTCGATCCCCTTTACGTGAGTCCATCCTCGGAGACTGACGAGACGGACGTCCACTCTCTGACCGATAGAGAATTGGAGATACTGACCAACGCGCCGGCCAAGTCCGTGATCAAAGGAGACTCGGAAACCGAGCTGATGAAGGTCATGATGGAAAAAGTCCGGAACATCGTCGCGAAATGGTTCTCCAAGAGACCGATTATCGAAAGGAGACGTGTCCTTGTCCTCGGTACCAGAAATGATATCATGGAAAAGCTAATCGCCTCGATGCTAGAATGGATAGTGAGCTCGGCTATCGATACCTATTCCACATGGACCACGTTGTCTGCGAAGAAGATGAGGCGACGGGTTCAAAACCTGATTAACAAGAACCTCATCTTCTGTGCATTTTTCCCAGACGAAGCATCTGAGGAAGTTCCTACCATCGAAGAACCAATGAATGCGGGAATGTTGTGTGGGCTTGATATACCAAAAGTGAGGGCGATTGCTGGCCGACTCTACGAGAGAATGGTAGGCACAACCGAACACCCTGGCATTCATGAATGGCAAGATATCCAGAAAAGCAATACCAAGTTTCACCACATCTTTGTGCTTGGGGCCCATGAACTCTCTGAAGCATTCGTGGACATTCATAACCTCCACCTTCGTAAAGCGCATGGATATTTTTGGCTCCTCTTTCCAGAAACTGATCTCCCAAGCACATTAGTTGCAGAAATCGCCCACTTCGGTTTTCTAATGCCAGACAGGAAGTCCCTACAAGGTATAATGTTAGTTGCGAACATTTGGATAATTAGACTCGGAGACTAGATAGGCTCTCTCTCAATAGCGCCATTTGCTAATTTGAGTCCTCTTCGTAAACCGAACCCGGCGGGAGTCAATGCCTCTTTAACCCCCATGTTACTATTCTTGTACAAATTTGCAGTCAACTATGAATAGTTATTCCCCTTTCTACTAAATCCTGAGAAGTCATCAGGAATGAGTGCCAGAAGCCTTTTTCAAGGGCGGCATGCAATATAGCTGAAAGGAAACTGACTCTCTGGCATCAATTTATTATCATCTCCCTCCAAGCATTCTGAAAATTCCTAAAAACAATATTTAGTGTTCATCACAAGAAAGAAAGAACTGATTACGATTGCAGCGTTCATTTGCGCTTTTATATATTTTTTTAACACTTAGGAGCCACAATGGAATTTTTAAAGAATAATCAGCTTGACATCGATTTATATACAAAGAATAAATTGGAATCATCTTGATGGAGAATTGCTAAATGCACAATTGATATCCAGACCTTCTCCAAGTCCTGAACAGGGTTTGCGGAAGGACGAAGTGCATTGATGATGGAAACAATATCTTACAAGTTTGGAACCCATTTCTAACGATACGCACAAATTCAGATTTTTTGGTAAGATTCCTAAATGTACTGAGCTCGTTCTCGATTAACAAAGGAATTTCAGGCTAGTATGGAATCCGTCAAGATGGATTAGGCACTGAAAGTACTCGAACGAAAAAGTAATAAGCTAGGTATTACAAGTAATATATTAAAAATAGTGCTGCCAATCTATTTTTAAAAATTTAATCGATTAATCGAATTTCAATAGATCCCATAGTTCCTCCTGGAATCATGTCCTACACTCTTAGAAAGGAGTGAGCCATTACCGAGAAAGGGAGCGAAACTGGAGTTAGCGAATTTACTCCCTGAAAACAAGGAAATAATGCCGTTCACCTATCTCTTTCCTGAGAATAACCACTGAATTTTTCTAATAGTTTTGAAAAGTACTCTCCCTCCTTCGTTTCGTGCTCTTAAAAAAGTTATGGATTCTGCTCTTATAAAGGAGTATTTATCGATTGTACTTCCTCATTTTTATGGAGTAAAATTGCTTACTCCAGTTTCGCTCCCTTTTTCGGAAATCGCTCATTCTTTTCTAAGAGTGAGGGAATGATTCTGCTTGTGTCATGTCCAACACCTAGGCGAGCCTCAAGAAGCGACTCAGGGCGATGCAGGCGCTAACATGGCAGTTAATATTCACTAGTTCATCCTACAGATGACACATTCCAGTCGGAAAAGAAAATTTCAACTTCGTCAGATAAATAACGAAACGTAAGGAAAGAAGCGCACTGAGGCCCTTTGCCATTCAGCCAACCCATTACGGAAGGATGCAAAAAATGTAATCTAAATGATTGGCACTTAATTATGCGGAGATTTAAAGGTTCATTAACAATTTACGGAAGAGCAAAAATAGGAGCAAACAAGGAATAGAAGAGAGTTTCACACTTCAATTTTCACTTCTCCCACCTGCCCCCGGCTTTCCCCTCTCTAGGTTACTTTCCAGGGGCTTCCACAGACGTTTGCTGGTGTACTTAAAGGTACGCCTCTCACTCCCCAGTCTTTACATTATCCTCTTTCTTACCTGTACTGTTCCATGTCCCTGCCCAACTCCCCTCCTCCTTATGTGCTTTCCCTTGCAGTTTCTTAATTACGACTTTCTTTTCCCCATTCGCATCCAGTGAATTTTCTGTTGCTCTGCCCTAGGTCGTCGTTACCTTAACCGTACGTGTGAGGTTTGCAAGGCTATGCCTTTAAAGGCCGTAGGCAAGGCAGAAGGACACAGGATGCGCACCAGTATGCATGTGGATGCGAAGGGATCAGAAAGCTTCTTCTTTTAAAAAATAGTTTGAAAGCAATGACTTTGTTTTTGCATGTTCCCTTTTTTCAAAAATAGTATGTCGTTTTGAGAAAGATTGAGCAGTGCGAAAACGACTACCTTCTATAAACCTTCATTACATTTCATTCCCTCGATAAAGCACTCATTTTCTGTTGTTTTTCAAAACTAAGAACTATACAGTAAAATTATGAGGGGAAAAATAAGCATTCCGGAGAGATTAGGAGTCGATTGAAATTCTATTAATTTCGGCTAATTTTTTAAATCGCGATTAATACTTAAAGCGATTAATCGGTCGAATAATCCAATCGAATTGACAACCCTAATTAAAAGTAATATAAGCATATACTGAGAATTTAGAATTTAGGAATTTTTCCGAATTGGTAGAAAATGTTTAATTTAAAAATATAGAAACAGCCAATCCTATTTTAAAAAACTCCTAGACCGATATGACATCAAAGTACTAATAGGTTATGCTTTAGCTGTGAATCTGATATGGCTTCTAAGTTCTGAGCTAACACTGATGGCATCACAAGAACTTGACTCGACCCAGCAGATGACTATCCATTTTTGGCGGGTATCGACCCCGCTTCCGACTCCGAAACGCACGTTATCAAGAGAAATAACTCATCTCTCTCACACTGACCTTCGATCCTCACTTCAAGTTTGGTCTATCGGTTTTATCAAATGACAAAGTGCCTTCATAAGGGTGGAGGTGCTGTAGATTCGATGCTGCCCGCCTTCCTGGTACATATTAAAGTCTTGACCCGCTCTTTTAGCGCGTTTTCGAGATTTTCAATGTTCTGAACCACGCTGTAGATTAGAGTTGCTTCCAAGCCATTCCCCAATTCCAAAGAATACAATCCCAGAGTCAGAATTTGCTAGGGCAGAAACTTTGAAGCATGGGACCTTATCATGCAAAAATGTCACGTCTGGGACTGAGAATAGATTCTGTTCATCTTGGAGAGGAACGATGCCTGAGTTCGATAAGAAAGCTGGCTTTTAAAGTCTAAAGAAGAAGCATTGATCAATGCGACCTTTCGCTTTGAGTTTTTATACATAGTATATTCTCTCGGATTCACTTCAACCCCTTCATCCGAATGAAGATTATTATATTTATTATATTATATTTATTATATTATATTTATTATATTATATTTATTATATTATATTTATTATATTATATTTATTATATTATATTTATTATATTTATATTCCCGAGAGGTACTTTTAAAAAAATTCGAAGCCTGCTAAGTTAGCTGAGAAATTGTAAATGACTCAATTTCGTTTTGTCAAAGTAGAGTTGATAAGAGGATCTCTCTGATCGCGAACTCGCGTGAGGATCCAAAAATATTTATATCTTATTTTTCTAGCCCTTATACTTTTGATTGCGGGAGGGGGAAGGATTTTTATGTGCAACTAAGTACAATGGGATCCCAAAAAGTTCTCGGCTTGGCTACCCTAGAATATTTGGATTTTTTTCCAAGACATTCGTATAGAGAAGTAGTGTCATAAAAGCTCTGTTCCTCAGCGAAGTCGGAAGCTTGAAGCAATTCTGATGCACCTGTAACAATTTTGGCTATATATGCAAAATTTTACACCGTAAAACATGTCTACAAATATATGCTCAAATTTTGACCCAGAATGAACCAAGGAAACAGGTTGGAAGTCACACTTTCCTGAATTCAGTTTTCAGCACGGCGAGGAACAGTCCAGTGAGGGAATCAACCTGGCTTTATCAAGCCGAGGACTTCATCAAGAGGACATACCATTGGGGAACCGAGAATACAACTCGCCTTGTCCCTCCGGTGGAGAACATGGATGAATGGATCGAGACTGCCAAGACCGTTGAGGAAAGAGCGAAGAGATCCCTCATTCTACGTCTGCATCAACTTGGACGAAAAAGCAGAACATCGATGTTCATCACGTATAACTCAGATTTTGTCCACCTCATTGAGACACGGAACGTCGGGGGTGGCATTGAGGGCATCCTGCAATTGGAAGAGCATGATGTCGTCCTCATACACCGTAACTTTGGGGTCATCTTCATCCAATTGAAAAATCATGATGCCGAAGAGGCGAAAAAGGAAGTAGGAAATGCAACAAAGAATATCCAGACTGCTGCAGAACACCTTGAAATGGAATTTCAAAGTATGACAGCTACTAAAACGAAATTGGAAGCTGCCATGAGAAAGTGCGGTCTGGAGGATGCGAACGTGTCTCTTCATGTAATAGCATTCCCGACTCTAAGCAGAGATCAAGTGGAAGGAAAACAATTTGGTGACAATCCTGTCTTCCTCAATGAAGAAGATTGCCGTACGGCGGAAGCTCTTGAAGAATGGTGGCGGAAGCACATCCTTCATTCGGATCATCTTCAGAGCTCCTCTATCACAGAGGAAATGTACATCAAACTTCTGGCAATGTACGTTATATATGGGATGCACTGGGCTATAAATGACATCTGTAGAAAGTACATTCGTTAGAATTATGGCGTCTATCATGAAATGTCCTTTGTGAAATCGAACATTTTTTACGAAAAGAAAGAGAGTAAATAATACCTGTCTATGCTGAAAAATGTTCATACAGGTAATTGTCCGCTTCCAACTGATTCCATCTCAGTAAAGTTTTTTTCCTCAACACTATCTTCACAATGCTACAATTTAAATTTCAATATATTAGAGAAAATCCGGAAACTTTGAGTAAACAAACACAGCATTTACAAGGTTAATCATGGTCCGAGGAATTTCCATTATAGTGTTATATGTGTAACAATGGAGAGGAACTAGAGCATTACTCGACGGGTGACTTTGGCTGTATACCCATATGGAAAGAAAATAGGAAACTGTGAAGTGGTAATGATCTGCATGATTTCGCAATGATACAATGGGAGCTCGAGCCCACATGCAGTTTTGGAGTAATGCAGGCACTTTGAAGGAGCCCGGCATTTATCCTCACTAACAAATCTCTATCAGTGTTTGGGACGCATTGAAGGAGGGAAGGGGGAGGGGTGAGGTCATATTTCCCATAGGTAAGCATGTCGTTTGGAATGAGAGCTTGCCAGTGTTAGGAGCGTCTAGCACCCTCTCCTCAGCTGGAACTTTATAGTTCTCCATATCCCTCCTTTTCGAATCTTCCGGTCGTACGTGTCCTCTTCGAAATGGTTCGTGAAAGTCGGAATAGGCCGGCAACCGGGCTAACGTACCGAGATGTCTCCAAGACCACGAGATTGACTCTTATAGGCCTGATTAACCCATTATGGAGGGTTGAAATTATTTTAAGAGAAGAAGGTAGGCATTGGCCTGATCTGAAGATAGTACGTAGGTGAGACCGAAGCCAAACATTGAGCAGTTCCAAAAATTATGCGCACCAATTATAGATAATACTACCGTTGGTTTCGTTGTACACAATTTTTCTCTGACTCACCTGTGTCACAGAAGATGGAAAGCAATGATACTCGGTTTGAGCCTATCCAGATTGGTAATAACAGGAAAGAAGACCACTTGTTCGTAATTCTAAGGGAGAAGCGACAAATACGGTTTACACACGCTGTGAATGGACTTGATACCCATATCGACTTGTGAGTAAAAATGCCCAATATAAATGGGCTATATCAAGTTCATACACTGGCAGATAATAAAAAGTTTGCTATTTATATTAGTAGTTTCTTGAAGTCCATGATTTCAAAAATAAATTGAAGAATGTTTTCGATGGTCAGATCAATAAAATCGCAATTTTATTTTTTCCATAGATTCATCGCTCCTCTACACGCAACTCCGGCCAACACCGCACGAATGAACAGACAGAACCTTAGTTTTCTCACCGAAGACAAGCTGAACATCCTGGTGAACAGAGAGAAGGAGTTCGTGGTGAAAGGAGCAGCCGGGACTGGGAAGAAGTGTTTACTCCAGGAAAAGATTAGAAACATCGTCATGTCTTGGTTCTCCCGGGGACCCATCGAAGACAAGAACGAGATGATCCTCCTGATCTGTAGGAATGCTTATGGCATTAATAAATTGGGGAAGACTCTATACGATTTACTGCTCACGTCTGCCATGACTGTGCTCGGCCAGTGGATCGATGGAACAGGGCAAGAGGAGGAAAGTAAGAAGGTCAGGGGAATTATAGAAAAGAATGTAATCATCTGCTGCTTGGATCCCAAACCAAACGCATCGAATTCTCAGTTGGAACAATTGGAAGATATAGATGATTCCAGATCTCGATTGCAGAAGGCAGCCAAGGATCTTGCGTCATCCCAGGCTTTGGACTTCGATGCCGCGAGGATGAAAAATGCAAGTTGGGAAATATTCTTGTGCTACGAGCTGCTGAAAAGCTGCATGGTCACATACGTGCCCCCGTATGATGAAAAGAAGGAATGGTCAGAAATAATGAGGAAAGCTAGAAACCTTTTTGAGTTCTTCACCTCGTCAGCAGTTGCAATGCAGAACTTGATGCACGACATTTACGTTTTGCAGGAAGAAATGGGAATAGGCTCGATTGGGCCTCTCAAACTGATCGGCGCAAGAAAAGGTATCCATGTTGCAATGATGACCCTCTTGATATCTCTGAAACAAATAAATGCTCAACTGGGGATTCTTTCTGAAAGGACTCGGTATGCCATACTGGAGAATCTGAGCGTGGTCCTAAAAACTCAGAAACCGGCATTCGACCACGTCTTTGTCGACGACGCAGAAAAATGGTGCCAGTTCTACGATGACCACTGGTTGACCATGCTCCGATCCCTCCATAAAGAGGGTAGAGGATGTTTCTGGTGGGCATATGATCCCCTTTCTTATGATGTTGACAATTTGACGGATTCCTTAAAATCGGAAGTAGAAGGTGCTCATCCTTTATATGCAATCTTGAGGAACACGGGATCCGTCTTCGAGGCGTGGATTCGCCATAAAATGCCACTCGGGAAACACGACAACACGGCATTTTCCACCACTCGCGACTTGGAGTATGACATTGGAAAAATTAAGTTAGAGTCCCCTGTACGGGGGCCTAAGGTGGAAATATTTCACGTTACCCTCTTTGATCTTGCCGAGAAGATTGTGAAGATTGTGGAGGAAAAGTTTCCGCACGCTAATCACAAGCAGGATATAGCCATCATCTTCGCCGATATGTTGGATTTCAGAGGCTTTGGACTATCGTTCGTGAGTGAAGTCGAAACTTATGGCAATAAGAGGTACTTTGCAATAGGTCCTGCTGAATTTTTTCATGGTCTCGAGGCCCCCATCGTGTTCTTGATTATTGACAGGAGATGGAAGAAGAGTAACCATTTGTACCATGGTGCATCAAGAAGCACTTCCCACCTCTTTATACTCGCCTTCGAGAGCATGGGAGAAGAAGCAGTACTGAAGAGACGCGTCGACGAGAGCCTCCGTCTTTTCTGCCCGGATGAACTGCCCGAAGTAATAGAGGATCCACTTCGTACGGCCGTTCGCCATAGCCTCTTACGCCACAGTCCGAAACCTATTATAGAAATGTTGACAAGGATCGCAATTGCAAGGCAGGCATCGAAGGAAGCCAGCTATTTTCCTCAGCTGCCGGTTATCACGAACGAAGAGGGGTGCAGAGCGACTCTCCGTTCCTGGAATATACGAAGCATGGACTATGGAACGTTGGGCCTAGTGAGTACATGGATCATCACCGGTCAAGCGATCTTTCCTCAGGTTGTTCTTATAGCGGATAGCCTGGAGATTCAAAATCAAATGGATTGAAATCTGAAAAGATACATTACTCCTATCTTCATTGCGGACAATCGAGAAGTGGCTCACTGTGCAACTTGTGTTATGAGTGATGATGACATCTGGTAAAGTGGGTTTGGGATCATAGGAAATTGCAGGTGGATCTCTGACGCACTCCGCTCTGACGCACGCGAGAAGTCCCAATCACCCCCATAAAGAATTCCAGAAATGCTTGTAGTTAAATTAATAACGCTCCTAAATCATTCGCTCTATTAAACATTCCATGCAAAGTGGATGCGTTTAGAAAGACTGATATTTTTAATTAATTTTAAAGTCGAAAATGCCTTAAGGCCATGGTCTGCCGCAACCTCACTTAGAGTAAGCTGCTGCATCTCCTAAATGAATCCGTGAATTTTTATATAGTTTTGTGTGTATGTGCTCATTCGATGTCTTTGTCCTCAAATGCACACAGTGATAGTCTGCACCAATTACGAGAAGCTACAAATTCAAAATTTTCCAACAAAATTTTTTGGGACAGAGTGTATATCGTCAAACTGATTATAATTTTCGGATGGAACCGTCTGCCCAGTGTATTATTACGAGTTTCATTGTGGGTATACCATAAAAATAAAGCACTTGTCAGCTGGGAAGGCGATGAGAACCTGGAAGAGAGAGAGAGACTGGCATCTCTGCTATCTCTAATATGATCAGTGTCATGTTTATCACGATGAATGAATCTTCTTTCTCCTCATGAGATCCAAATGAGCATTTGTGAGGATCTTAAGGATCTTACCCTTCCTGAAAACTGAGCTAGTGCGAGATATTTGATAGATGTCGCATAGGGTCTCCCCGCCTCTCCTTCCCTTCGGGGCTGACTGGGCTGGAAAGCATTTCTTAAAAAACCCATGAACCTCCATCAGGTTTTTTTGATCAAGGGGATAGAACTTACCACTTTTTTTCCACCACCCATCACATTCCACCTGCATACGATCGCCTTGGGACGTCGGGGTGGTCATATCATTTCAAAACATTATGTCCAAGTCCGAATTATTTTTCATTTAGCTAGCTTGGTGCATGTCATTCCAATTCTCTTGCACCATTCTTCTCCTTGAGATGTGCTCCTCGATGAAAAATTAGATTTGAAACTGCAATATTTTCCAAACTGCAACTATCAGGTCACTGTTGTTAGCAACATTGAAAAGAACGTCCTTCATTTATTTTTTCACGGGAAAGAGTAGGTATCAGACTTAAAGGGAAATTGCTTCAATTGCATATTAGAAATTTGTACTTTCATAGGATGATTCATGGTACATTCTTTCCGATCCTCTTTTACAAAATTGCTAAATTTTGTTTTTCTTTCCTTCTAAATTCAGATAGACTTGAGAAACAGAATAAAAATATGTAATTTATTGGATTTGCTTTCGCTGCCATGCGAAAAGGCTTCACAATTGACGCTGGAGCATCGAAGAAAAGTTTCCACTTGGACGGAGGTTTTTTCATGGTCCTGTCAGAGTTCAAGAGAGTTTAGGCGATTTTTTCGGTGCCAAGTCTCATGGCAAATGTATTGATGTAGGCGGAGGGCGTTTAAAGACACTTTCAAAGCACTGAAATGCCTCTATTTTTGATAAAGATAATGCCAAATAACATGCTATCATTCAGTTATTTGTTCAATTATTCAGTTATTTATAATAATTGTTCATTCCCCCATCAAGCTTAACGAGTTACAAGTCGTATTGCTACCTTGCTGGCTTTGTCAATATGTGCTGGGTGACTCAAAATTATGTATACACATGGTGAAACTATGTATCTTCAATACTTATTGTACTGAATAAACAAAACTTTGCTATGTACACAAGTGTGGAGCCCACACATCACAGCACAGGCCTCTCACTCATCATCTACACATTTTGAGCACGCCAGACAAAGGCGAATCCAGTTGGAATTTAAGCACGCACACGCGTTAGCTTCAGCGTTACACTGCGGGTCAACCGGTAGAGCGAGGAAGAAGGGAAGAGAGGAAAACCACGCGAAAAACGCAACTGAAGGGAAAGAAAAGAGACTTTGAATGATGGTCGGGCTGCCGTTCGATGTCAAGATTCCCGTCGTTCCTCGAGAGGCAATCCGATCCTGTCATAGACTCCCTTATCGAATGCACTAGTCATCTTGTTTCTATTGCGTTCCTACCAATTTATCAGCGGAATAGTACTGTCGATCGAATTATGTCCAACACCATCGAGAGTTGCAGACTTATTTCGAGTCTGATATCCGATTCTTCTCTATCTCATGGATCGGGCCATGATGTTCAGGGGGTGCTACGTTGTTCCTTCCATAACGAAAAGCCCTTCTCGAGGATCTCGTCAAGATAGCTGAGATAGCAAGAAAATGGCAAGTGAGACTATCCCGAATATCAGGAATCCGATCCTTTCATGCCGTACGACAATGAGGAATTTTCACCGCGGTTCCGCTCGTCCGAGCAGACGGTACTGCATTTACTTCAGCGTTTGCAACTCCAGGAACCCAAGAAGCATCGATGGGACTGCCTGACGCCAACGGATGAATCAATTCACCAACGTGAGTAGCAGCTGTTTGTCCTGCCATGTGTAGTTCTCACGACGTTTTGGTTGGAATGCAATGCTGCATGAGCCTGCTTTTTTTTTCTGGTGCTTCGCCCCATAATACCAGTCAAAACTTAGCTATTCAGGTGCCATCTCGTTTCACTTGTGGGGACCTTGTTCGTTCCAACGACTGAGATAGATGACTTTTCCGCAGATGGGACGAACGGCTGCCGCAATAGCGCCGAAGTGGGGCCTACATGGACAGCCCACAGTGATGTTGACTCGTGTTTCACTCACAGCCAATGTGGGTCCAACGCGGTGTGCTGCCTCGGTTCATACTTTTCCAATCGTGAACAAATTTAAAAACCGTAAGAATTGATTTTTGTTCGGAATAAACAAACAAAAAAAAAATGTCAACTTGCCATAAGTTCGCCAACATACTTGTCAAATATTCCAATGATTCTGTACATGTACAGAATCATTGGAATCAGAAGTAGGTTTTCTGAGTACTCATTCTCAAAATTACCTGTCAAATTTTATCTTTGTCATTGTCGGTCAACCACATTGTAAGACTGACACTGACGGGATGAAATTGCAAGTGGTCTCTCTCCTTTCAGGAAAGGAGGCTCACTGAAAAGGAAGAGTGCCGTGATACGAAGCAAATCCACCCCGCTTCCCCCCCCCCCCCTTCCCCCTACGAGTCACGTTCATGCATAAGTTCCGCATTAGAAGATGTTATAGGCTTCTTGAATATCGTCAAACGCATTGGAGTCCATGCATGACATTTTACAATTTCCCGAACTTCGAAAGGAACTAATTGTAGTCACGAAATTACTGAATGAATTACTTAATGAACTTCATTACGATTGGTCCAGTAGAAAGCTGGCGCCGCCAACACAAATACAAAAACGCCATGCACACTCAAGCCTCCAGGACAGAAAAGAAACCAAAGAAAAGTGAATATCAGCGACCAGCAAAGAAATTCTAAATAATTTCTTCTGTTGCAGACAATATTGAAGACAGGTAAAGAATGTAACAGCGAAAGATGAAAGATTTCAAAAACACCATTTTGGGACTTGAAGGCACATCAGATGTGCCTTCTTCATCAGAAGATGGATGGTGGGAATATTCCTAATATATTATTTTCACCTTCATGCCAAGAATCTCCATCACATGAAGCAAAAGGGCATCGATCATAATACTGTACAGTTTCAAAAATCATCAATACTGATGGGGTAGGAGAAGACCAAGGAACTCTTGATCTGGATCGCCAGTCCGGCTTCATCCGGACACCGCAGACCCGAACCGGTCAAGCATGCGAGGAATTTTCCTTGGAATTCATCGTGTCCCTCATGATCTCGGCCCCGACGAGATTGACGATGACGTCGGAGACACCGTCACCCGAACCGGCAACGGCTTCCTCCTCCGTCATGTGCCCCGTGAGGGCCACGTATTTCCGGATGATGCGGGGCCAGTCCACGACGTTCTCGATCCTTCGGGGTCCCTCGGAGCCCAGGGAATGAACCCCGGCCGAGAGCACCCGGTTCACCGGTGTCGCATCTGCACCATCGACCATCACCGAATCAACTCATTGGAAAATGAAGCAAGCTGGGCATTGCCCAGTCCAACAGAGAGCTTTCTTTGAGCGTATCGTCACAGTTTATAACGAGGATTGTGACGAGTGAGGGGAGAGGAAATGAATATGGCGTCCTCAAAGCTTAAAGGATTTTGGGAATCATAGGCGTACCTTTCGGAGAAATCTTGCTCTTGCGTCCAGGAATTCGTCTTTCTCGCACCTTCTTCATCCACCCTCCAGTTGCGAAAACGGCCACGTCCAGGACGTAAGGATCTTCGGGCGCCTGTTCCGTTCTCAGGTACTCCTGGGCCTCCTTCCGGCATAGATCCCCTATTGCACGAAGGAGACGTTTATGCAAGCTCCATAGTGATAGCAATTACTCGATGGCATCCGAGGCACACTCGCCTTTGAATTTGCAGCAGGCGACGAGATAAACCAAGAGCTTGGTGATGAGATTCAGGGGGGCGGGTGTTCCTGAAGTCCGATTCATGTTTCGGATCAGCTTGGCCAGTCCGAATTTCCACTCCGTGTCTGATTTCGACTATAATTTAAGTTAAAAAGGTGGAGCTGAAACCTTCAATGCGTAATCGTAATCGTCGATTCTCGATGTTTAGTATCGGAAGTACTAAAATCAATGCACCCTGATACTTGACCTGGAAGTCTGTATTATCTACCAACATAAGTCCTTCTTTAGTCGCTCGGTTGGAACAGTAATGATGTAACATTGACGGCAACAGTGATCCATTGTCAGGAAGCTTCGGGTTTGAAAAGAGATCGAGATCAGATATTGTCAGACCGGCACAATTTTAGTATCGTTCTTGTCAGTCAAGCCCTGACATTTGTATTCGTCTAACTTTCCTGTGCATCAACTAAGGGATTATTATTTAAATTTCGTCATTGTGAAAAATGTTGGATGGGTAGGCCAGCCATACGTCGCTTCAAAAACTTATTTTTGGCCCGTTTCCGTTCGGAGTGAATTCTGAAAAAAGCACCCCTCTAGTATCCTTCAGTCCGGTTCCAACGAACGCATGCTCGTGAATCTCTTTAATGGTAAGTCTTTGGAATTTGGCCCATCAGGTCACCGTAGAGAGCAGTTATCGGTTGGTCGGATGCCTAGTCGATGAACAGCATAGCGTAGCGACAACATCAGCGATCATCATTACAGTATGTCCAACCGTTCCTTTAAAAAGTGAGCGCCGAGGGGAAACGCTTCTAAAGTCTTAGCAAAACATTGAAATTCGCTTTTCTGTTCCCAGGTTCATAAACTTCAGTAGAAAAGGTCTTCAGTTTATTCTGTTAGCATTATTCTTAAGGATTAGGCATCCTTGCGGTTGAGCTTTAAAGCGGTTGGATAACGCTTTCGATGCTCCTTAAGCTTCAGGGACGGACGAAGAAAGACTCTCACCTGAATCCGTTGGTAGGTATCGCTCATCATAGCGATGAGTAGGTTGATGAGTACCACCACCGTCACCATCATGTACACTCCGAATACGACCTGAACGGACGAAAAGGAATGCGCATGGGTATGGGATTCGGAGGCCTCATCGAGACATGAAAAGATTGATAGGCATTTCGAGCTCATGAAACCTTCATGATCTGTGCAGCCCACGGGGGGTGAGCGTGCATGGGAGGCAGGTAATCGGGCTCGACCAAACCGAAGAGAGCGTAGAAAAGCAGTTCGAAAGTGTCCAACGGCGTCTGCACCGGCGCCTCTGCAAGGAAATGCGCGAAGATGAACGAACCAAGGATTCGGACATTGGGAGAGTAGTCGTAAATATTGCTCTTCGTGGTTGACACTTCCAGGATCGTCTTCCTGACTGCAGCGTTTCATTGTGAATGCCTAAAACCCCACAACGTAATTTTCCGCCGAATCTCATAAAAGGCTCCCCAGCTCTTATTTCTCCCATTTCACTTTTTCCTTATTTCGCCCATATGGCGAGAAAGACCCAATTATATTGATAGATAAAATTCGAAAGATGAAAATAGCATAAGTGAAAGTCACATCACCAATACACCCAACAGCTCCGTAAGTTCCAATAGATGCGGTCCTAGGCCATGGGCCCTGATTATCCAAACCAATCCGCCAAAGCTTTCCCCCTAAACAAACGTCTCTGGTCTCGTGTCTAAGTTGAAAACCAGTAGTTTCTCCTCCAGGCGATTCGCTGCGATCACGGAGGTAGCTACACGAAATGAGATTCATTTCGCAAATTGTTGCAGTTTTCTTTTAGCGAACTCGTCTTATCGTCTCATCGTGACTTAACTGTGTCCCCCGGTCAAAGGAAAGAATTTCTCGCTGCCCGCAGATGAAGAAACACCGTCGTTTTGTAGCATGTGAGAAAGGTGTAAGCTCACCCGAGGACCATAAATTCTTCATAACCAGCCGAACCTTACCAAAACAGGGCCATGCGAGCCCATGTGTTGGGGGAATATTTCATATGCTTCGGATAGCCTGAAAGTTCCCGATAATTTGTCAAAAAGCAGATGACAGTCCGTAGGAAAGGGAAAATCCCTGGTACTTACCAGATATAATTATGAATATAATACATATTAAATCAAACTGTGGCCTATGGAACATTGAACTCATCATTACGCTGCCAACTCTCACTAAAATTTGAAGTTCGGTTGTGCATAAGGTCGAACGATAATAGGAATGGCATCGAGGACTCACCGGTTGGGGGATATCCGTCGCCAAGTGTTGCATTTGGCGCGGCATAAATGGGGAAGATCGGCTGATAGATAGCAGCCACGTTCATGGAGAATCCGAAGATGAAAATGAAAAGGATGACGAGGAATCGGCCGAGGTCCACCATGAGATTGCTGATGATGATGGCCCACGGCCCGAAGAGGTGATGGAAGGTGAGAAAGTCCAAGAGTTGGACGCAACAGAGGAGTAGAGCCAGAGCGAGAAACTGATTGCGGACGTAGAGGGCCAAGGATCGGCCGGGTATGGCGAATCCGAAGCCGACTACGTGTATCCCGATGGCCACCCCGCACACCAGGAGGATCATGACACGAAGCCACCCGAGCCCGGCTCGGTCACCGGGGTTCGTCAGCTCCGACACCAGGTTCCCACTGATCCAGGCGAGGAGGATCCACTCGTACCAATGGGGTATGAGGGATGTGCTGTTCCAGATGGGTCTCAGAGGCGTCACGATGGTCAATATGAGAAGGACGACGAAGTAGAGATGCGAGATGAGATAGGACATGAACTTGATCAGTGGGATCCGGCTGTACTTGTGCCCCAGCGGGAGGGAGAAGACGATCCAGACCGGCGGACAGAAGAGGGACGCAAAGAAGAGGAGAAGGACCTTCCATTGAGGCCAGTTCATGGGTCCCACCCACACCTCCCCCAGGTACTTTTGGACGGCAGTGTGTGCGATGACCTCCTTCTGCTCCGTCTCGATCAGAACATCCAGCAGCTGCACGGATCGGTGGTCCCTCGCCCTCAACAGGAGGCCTGCACTGCTGGAACCGGCGGCGATGGACAGGAGTTCTTTGGCCATGTCCTCGGTGAAGGCTGCCGCGTACTCCAGGTCTTTCGACCGATCCTTTTCCTGCAAAAGCACAACAGTATGATATGTCTCCTGTCCCCTTTTTTTACATGTGCGTATGAAAGGGAACAGTCATGTTGCACATTTTCGAGGGTGCTTCAAGTCTCGTCAAGGTAATATGCTGGGCGATCGCCTGAGAAAACATTGATTATTGTCGATTATAAAAAAGGACGGAAATCAGATCATAGAACTGTCAGCAGCCTGCGACATTCTTCAGATATGTTTCTTTGTCAGGAGCAATGAAAGTTTGGGAAACCCGTTTCTTGACTTTTAGGTGATTACTTCGTTTTATCTGGACCTTCCTGTTTTCTGATTCTCTCAACTTTCTTATTTTACCCTTGAATCCATGTAGAAAGAAATTTGCATGATGCAGAGCGTTCAACTGTCAGACTTTCGCCACAAGAGGAATGCAGCCTCATAAGGGCTAGGATTTTATGCATAATATTTTCATAGCCGAATTTTTATTTCATTCAGAGAATTTAAAGAAGAATCTTACGCCAATTTTCCTGCGTTCTTGAATATATTGGCACGACTGCAGAAAAATGCAAAATATGAGTTATCCACTACTTAATAGCATCCTTTCACTATCTATTCGCTATTGCTTCGATCATTAATGGCTTTGACACTTCCATTTCCTTTAATGTACGAGGTCTCGTTCCTTTCCATGCGAGGAACGAGAGTCCTCCAAAATATAGATGGAATCCTCAATCTTAAACACTTGGAAACATTGCAGCTGAATCCGGCCGCACTGGCAAGTGGTTGCTGCCGTCTCCAGTAGTTGTTGGTTGCCGATTCCTCCAATAAAATAGGCCAAATTTCGGAAAAAGCATATTGCCCGACATGAAAGGAAAAATGCGGACTTGGAGTCCTTGCGCAACCATCGCATCATTGCCTTGCTATGCGCATATTTGCACATATAAAATAAAATTTGAATATGATTTTTTTTTTCATTTTGTGATGCATCTCTCCACGACTCCCCAGCGAGAAAATGCAATCGATCGCCGTCCCCGTCCCCGTTAAGTCCTGAAAAGGGATCACCCGGAAGGATAATTACCCGAAAGGAGAGCTGGCGGAGGGTGTAGGAGAGCTTGGCAGCCGTATCCACCGGCGCTTTCGAAAGGAGAACGAACTCCGTCAACTGCCTCAAGCCGTCCTTCTTGCTGCACACCATCAGATCCAGGACGAACTAAAGAGACGGGGAACGAAACGCTTCACGAGAAGGAACTTCGCTCGTAGGGACACACTATAGACGGGAACGAAAGCTAATTTTTTTTCGGCTTCGTTGAAGTAAGTTGAACTAAACTGAAGTTTAGATGTCGGGGTTCGAGTCTTCATTTTATCCTTCACTTTACCTCTCGTCTCGTTCTGTTTCACGAAGAATGCAACATTTGCTTTCAGATATTATTCTCAAACATACTCGCGGGGCACGTTCGACCATTCGAGACACTTCAGGACCACCTTTCCTCGTCATCCAGCCTCGGTTTCATCGATGTCTTCGTCTCGAAGCCGTCCTCGAAGTCCTCTACCGAGGACGCAGCCCTTCCTCACCCTTTCGGGCGCGAAAAACTCAGGTACGCGACCCGCGCAGAACTCGAAGCCCGCAAGAACAGGAAGCAACGAAGCAAACACAAAACAGGAAAATCCATCCGCCCACCTTCTTATCATCGAGCAGAGCATAGGTATTGTGCTCCTTCCTCAGCAGATAAGACAGGACGTGCGAATGCTCGTTCCCGGCCGCGAAGGCCAGCGGGACCTTGCCATCCTTGGTCTCCGCCGTGGGCGTCCCCCCCGCCTCCACCAGCAGCCTCACCGCCTCCAAGTGCCCCGCCCGCGCCGCGAAGTGCAGCGCCGTCCATCCGTTCTGTTCGGGACGACAGGCGTTCGATCGCGTCGGTGCACGATGGCGATAAATCCTAGAAATCTATTTTCGAGATTGATCTTTTCGGACGCACGAGGAAGACGACCGGCATAAAATACGATCTACGTTGCAGGTTGGACCAAAAAGTTACACGTCTCGATCCTGCATGACTTTTGTTCTGCGAAAGATATAAACGTCTGATGAAATGCTATCGATAGGCAATCTCGTGCAATTTTTCTTTATCATAGCTGGTAAACGATGGCTCGGCTCGATCGACGGAGCAGAGAACATTCATCGCATGTTCCGACCGAGTCCGTCAGACTGACAATGTCTGTACGGCGATCTTTCCGGAAGCAACACCCTGTCCTCAGTGGCGGCTCGTAATATTTAGCGCTAGTGGTTCGTCTATGGGAGGGGGTAGGCAGGGGAGGGCGCTGCCTACCCCCTCTCCATAGACGAACCACTAGCGCTAAATATCACGAGCCGCCACTGCCTGTCCTGGATACGGGACAGGACGCTGCTTCCGGAAAGCCATCGGCATCGACGACACACCAAGTCACAGTCGAGTGAAAGACACACGGGACGGCGAGAAGCTCTAATCCCGATAATTCCGGACGCCCGAGGACAGTGCGGACAAACGAGGCAGACAGACGACGCGTCCATTTCCTCTGCCTGTGTCTCACTGATTCGCGTTTTTCTCACCTTCTCATTCTCCGTGCTTCTCACATTCCACTTTAAAACGATTTGGCGTTTTGTCGATGCCGATTGTGTATCCAGGGCAGGAAAACTCGTCGCACACACTGAACAGACTTCGTCTCGACATATTTCTCAACATTGAAGCATGTAAAAAAAAAAACAAAAAACAGTTTCATCCTCCCTGAACTTTAAAGGTCGTCTCAGACGCGACTCGTCACCATCCGACACCCTATCCCTCTCGTGCCGTCGACGAATCCCTACGATCGACGACCGCAGACGACCATACCCTGTCGGTGGCCGCGATATCCGCGCCCTGTCCGAGCAAGAGGGCCACCATGTCCGTGTGACCGGCTCCGGCCGCGAGATGGAGTCCCGTCCGTCCCCTCTTGTCTCCCATGTCCAATTGCTCCGTGGATCGACTCAACAGGAGACCCACCACGGACAGGTGCCCGCCTTGACATGCCAGATGCAGTGGAGTGTAGCCCTGACGAACATCAACGTATATGTTTGCGTTGATCGATATTTTGACCGTTATTTCATCATCTCATTATATTTAAATTATTCTTCCAGGAATAATTTTAAAATAATACATAATAATAAAAGATTGCGTACGTGGAGATTGGTGGCGGCATCCGGCTGGACCCCGGGGGAATTGAGAAGAAGCCGCACCACGTTCTCGTTCCCGGAATAGGACGCAAGATGGAGCGGAGTCAGGCCGCTCTCGGAGCCCAGCTCCCTCAGGACGCTGGCGGAGACGACGGTCGGCGAGGACGACGTCACCGTCGCCGGCACCTGCGTCAGGATCTCCTGGACCACCTCTGGCGAATGGCGGGCGAGAGACGTGCAGGGCGGGAATGGTCGGGAACCGGCTGGGAAACGGGATCGAGCGAACCTGCTTTGCCGTAATAGGCGGCGACGTGGAGGGGGCTGAGTCCTGTCTTCCTGCTGGGTGCCCTGAGAGATGTCACTTCCTGGAGTGCTTCCACTACGTCCAGATGTCCGAAACGGGATGCGAGGTGGAGAGCAGTCTCCCCGGTCTAAAAAAGAAAAAAAAAAAAGAAAAAGACACGTGAGATTCGGTCCGTTCGAAGCGAAACGAACGTCAGGGAAGACTCGTCAAGGACCTTATTTTCGTCGGCAGGATTGGCGCCGGCCTCTAAAAGGATCCTGACGACGGCCGTATGACCCCCGCTGGCAGCCAGATGCAACGGCGTCGAGTCGCTCGTCTTGTTCCTGGCCGAAGTGACGACCCCTCGCTGGAATTTCAGCAGTTCCTTCACCACCTCCACGCTCCCTTTCTCGGCCGCGATGTGAGCGCAGGTGTTCCCGCTCTGCACGGAGGAACGACGTCGGGTCGAAGGGATCCGTAAGCGGGGGGGGAAACTCGAGGGACCGGGAACGGGACCTTGTTGGCGATGGAGACGAGGTCCTGATGAAGACTGAGAAAAAACTTGACGACGTCGGAGTGGTTGTTCTGCGCCGCCAGGTGCAGGGGAGTCTGCCGCTCCGAGTCCGTCGCGTGCACGTTCCCGCCCAGCTCCACCAGCGTCCGCGACACGTTCAGCTGGCCTGCGCCTGCCGATAGGTGCAGCGGCGTCTGCTTTTGCTGCACCGCGCGATCGTTCCAGGTGTTAATCGAGAGTGCATCGGGAGGGGAAAGAGCTTATCGAAAACTGGAAATTCATTTTTAAATTTTGGAAAAAAAAACTCGTCTCTGCTGTCATTCGAGCCGCGATATCGATCCACACGTAATCCTCAAAAATATTTTTTGTAATTTCTGGTTAAGATTAGCAGACCGACCAGAGTGAGGGCCTCGATGTGAGCGTTGTGCTTGACGACCAGGAGCTTGACGAGATCGTTGAAGCCCCTGAGAGCGGCCAGATGAAGCGCAGAGAGCCCGGTCATGCTCTTGCTATTCACGAAGGCCTTGTGCCGAAGGAGGATGTCGCAGATGTCCCGAAACCCTCCCTCCGCCGCCAGGTGCAACGCCGCCTTCCCTTCATTCGCGGGAGCAGCGATCGTTTCGGTAATCAATCGATCGAGGAAACCGAGAATATGTAAGTAAAAAAAAAAATCCAATTAAAAAAAATCGGACGTACCTTCCACGTCGAAGACGTCGACCCTGGCATGGTGGTTGAGCAAGGTGATGACGACGTCCAGGTGCCCCCCCTCCGAGGCGGCCAGAAGCGGGGACCAGCCGATCGACGACTGCCGGTTCACGGACGTCTGGACGTCGTTGGTGTTCAGGCTGGTCAGCATGTCCTTCATCACGGCCGCGTTACCTGCTCTCGCGCAGTAGTGCAGCGGGCTCTCGCGGTTCTGGACGGTAATAATGACTTCGTCAGCTTCGTCGGGTCGCTGGGTTGTCGTCGGTTTTGGTTTCGGGGTCATATTCGAATCTTTTGTTTTAAATGTTAATTTTGATGGTGTTTTTTGGAAACTAGAATTAGGGGATTTACTGTCAGCTGCACTGATACTTAAATTAAGGTTGCAATCTGAGGTGTTCGATTTTCATGGCTCTCTAATACCGTCACCGTCTTGCGGCTTAATCGATGTAAAAAAAAAAATTAACGCCTCAAGAAAGTGGTTCCAGTTTGTGCTAGTAAAACTCGGCATCCGCCTGGTGAGCCGGTCGAAGTCGCGGAAGCATAACATTGCCATCTACTCGCTACCGAGTTCCGTGTTCACCACCAACAAAAGCATCAAATAAGGAAAAGTTATTGCATGCAAAATTTCAACTCCACCAAATGGAAGGCGTATATCCAGTGTCCCATCGTTCGAGTTCTCAGAAAACCGAAATAGTTCGCTTCGAATAACTCCGGCACGAAAAAAAAGAAGTGCGAGCATATTTTTCCCAAAATTCAAACCAACGCGACCCACCCGCCAAGACATCAAATCAAAGTCATAAATATAAATTAAAGTCATAAATATAGAGTTTACCGTCTTGGAGAGGACGTTGACATCCCCGCCGGCGTCGAGCAGGAGTTTCATCACCTCCGAGTCCTCCTTGGGCAGGTGGACGTGATTCTTGTGGATTTTGGCCGCGTAGTGGACGGCCGTCTCCCCGTCGGCGTTCTGAGCGTTCACGTACGCCGTCAGCCCCGGCGACGACGGCGGCGACGGCGGGTGCTCCGACTCGCCCTTGGAATGGGATCGGACGTGCTCCAGCAGGCTTCGCACCACCTGGCTGTGGCACTGACCCGATGCCAGGTGCAGCGGTGTGTCCCCGTTCTGCAAGGTTTCGTGCGAGGTGGTTCACGGTCGATGTGGAAACGTCTTTCGACGGCCGACGACGTAGCGTGCGCTTCGGGTGAGCGTGCGATTTTGCAAGCCGCTTTAAACTGTGTCCCTTTGGAGCTTTGCCAAAAACGTCCTGGTTGTTGCGTTGAAAGTAAATATGGGTTGCCGAACGGATCATTACCATCCGAAGTCTCCCCTTACCCCTTTCCATTTTCGATTAATTCGTTCGGAATTCTATCGCGAAATGGATACTTTCCCATAGGAAATTTGCAGTTTCGGAAGGATCCTCACCGAGCTGCAAATCCAGAGGTAGAAATCCACCTTTGCATCCCCACTCCAGTGGATTTGGAACCATGTGGACGTCCCCCTTGGTGGATTTCCACCCGGAAAGACGTCCACCTGGTTCCAAATCCACACGGGGGGTGAGGGAATGTTCTTGTCCACTCCCGATGGACATTTTGTAATGGGAGCAAGCTAGAGGGCTGACACGCATCATGTCAACGATGAAAATTCTAAGTATGGTGGAGAGTGGAAGCAGCAAACAATACCTATCGACATTGGAATCTGGAAATTTTAGGTGAGAACGCTTTTCCTCTGACTGCTGGCCCGAGTTGAAGACGAAAACGGTGACGAGTCCCTCCTCCCCTCCCCCTCTCCTTCCCCTTCCCCTTCCCCTTCCCCTTCCCCTTCCCCTTCCCCTTCCCCTTCCCCCACCCCGAGTTCCTAACGCTATCCCTCCTTTTCTCCCTCGTCTGGTTCATCGCGTGGTGCCTCTATGCCCTTGCTCCCGTGATTATGGATTGCGATCCTGGTGTGCGGGATCGGTACGTAAACGCATCGGACCGGAACATCGCATCCCAAGAAGCTTTTCAAAACTTCGGTCCTGTCAGATAGTCGGGAACTACCTCCATCCTGGGTAATCTTAGGAGTGGCTGGTGACGTTGAGAAATTTGCTAATAAATTTTCCTCGAACTTTGAAGTCGGTGAAATCAAAAGAAGTACAGTGCATGCGACTGACGATGTTCTTTTTTCCATCGTTACGTCTGCCTCTTGTTAATAGGATTTAGTAAACACGTATAGGCATGACATCTTTAATAACCAAGCCGAAATAATTTCTTCGTTCTAGCGCTAAGACTCGTACAAGGTATGTGCCTGAGCACTCGTTTACTCGAGTGCGTGCGCATGGAATGACTCATTCTCGTCCATTACGCAGACGCAGTCTTGTCTACAGAGATGAAGACTAAGAAACATTTCCCTTCGTTTCAGCCCGCAACATGAAGAAATTAAAACGCTTATTTCCAATTTTCCGTTTCTTCAAGTTTTCGTTTCAGCCAGTCCTTGAAAAAAAAACTGCATGATCGAGCTCGATTCCTGGAAACACCAGCCGGCCCACAAGGCGAACGACTCAACACGACACGTATTTGAAAGCATGCAGAGAAAGAGAACTGAGGAAAGGATCCAGCCGAAATTCCACTGTGATCCCGTTAAGCCCCACTTCATAAGCCGACCGGCCCGATCGACAACCCAATCTGAAACGACGACCCGTCCCCACAAAGGAGAAACGGGCCCCTCGCGTCCCCATCCCGTCTCTCCACGCGTCTGCATCCACTTAAGGTTCTTCCTCGGCTGTCTCCCGCCTCCCTTCTGCCTCCCTTCTGCCTCCCTTCTCTGGTCCCGTTCGTTTCACAGCGCGCCGTTTTCTCCTCCACCGCGCCGATGCAACGCTACGAAGCCTTTCTCAGTCTGTCTTTAAGATGATCTGGTCGAGAGACGAATCATGATAGTCACAAGGTATCTCGTTCAAAGTTAAGTCATGGAGTGAGTCCCGGTTAAACGAAAGAATGCCCACCGCATGACGGGACTTCCACGGATTGTTTTTTTTTTTCTCCCCCTTCCACCTTTCGAACGAGATTTCCTCTCGAGAACGAGGATGGAAATCCCAAGAGTGATTACGTCCACGACCGTTCCACGGCCCGACTTCGAGGGAAGGGGGTCGATCGCGGACGTCCTACCCGAAACTCGACTCCGAAAGAAAAATAATTAAAAAAATGCGTGCCACTCGCACCATCGACCGAAAGCAAAAACAGCACCGAAAGAAAAAGGAAAGAAACGGAACCTGCGCCACGTCCATCGGATCGGCATCCTCCTGAAGAAGGAGCGTCAAGACCTTGGTGTTGCCATGCCTGGCAGCGACGTGCAGCGGAGTCCGTCCGTCCTCGGTCCTCGCCCTCACGTTCGCCCCGCACTTGACGAGCATCTCCGCGCACTTCTCGCCGTCGGCGATCCTCGCCGCCAGGTGAAGGGGCGTCTCCTGCCACTTCCCACCTGCGCAATCGAGTGGCGTCCGCGGTCATTCGAGGCCCCGACCCGAGCCGACCCGACCCAACCCGACCCGAGCTGACCTTTCTGTTCGACCGGGGCCCCGTGTCCGAGCAAGGTCTCCACCACGTCCGGTTTCCCCGCCGAGACCGCGATGTGCAGCGGCGTCATCTTGTCCTGCGTCACCGGACAGAGTCGAGAAGCCAGAAGTGACTCATCCGTCCGGAACCATTTCCAGTTTCATTTTTTATCCACGAGTCACGCGCGACTATTTTTTTTTAAATCATTCCTTAGCTGAAATACGGAAACGTTTCCCTCTACTCTTCTCTCCGCTCCTGCTTTCGTCGTTTTTAAGTTTTTCTCCTTCGAGTTCATCCGAAGGCGTTCATTCGGCGGGAAAAAAATAAAGGGAACGCTGCCTGTCTGTCGCCTCCGAGAACGACACGCAGCAGCAGAACATCAAGAACGAAAAGTCGCCTGACGAAAACACGAAAGACGTAGAAAAAAAAAAATCGGAGCAAGAACCCTCTGAATTCCCTCCGAGAATCCCGCTTCGCCCTCGACTCCACGGCAATGGACCACAATCAAGGATATGAAAAAAAAAAGGGGAGATAGCAATTTGAGTGAGGTCTGCGTGCAAAGGGAAGACGAGGGGGTGCCCTGTCAGTGTTTTGTCTGCTCAAGGCTTCCTCATGTGCGATCATGATCACGGAAAATGAGTTCACGGCAGGCATTTATCTACAGGTCGTTTGATCGATATCTCCGATGTGTGAGGTTCCTCGAATCCCTTCCCGGCCTTGATCCACATCATTTCCTTTGTATTCCCTATTCCCCCCCTGCAAAAGGCGTTAGGTTTCACCTGTCATTTTCCCGGAATGAATAACACCCTGAATAGCCTTGCGGTGAGAAGCCCTCCCCCCCCCCCCCCCCCCCCCCCCCCTCCCTCCCCCCCTCCTTCCCCCCCTCCTTTCCCCACCAGAATGCGAAGAAAGGACATACGTTGGTGATGCAGTCCACGAATTCGCCTTTCTGCAGAAGAGTATTGACCACGTTGACGTGGCCTCTCTCGGCCGCCACGTGAAGACTCCGCCATCCGGCCTGTCACACGCAAACGGCACGTACAACAACATTCCAACCGTACGAGTACGAGTACCGTACGAGTACTGTACAAGCACGTACGAGTAAATTCCAAACGACGGGGGGAAATGCGCAAAGGCAGGAGTTTTACTCGTGCCCGGAAATGAATCGTGAGTTAGTTACTTA